TGGAAATGCAAATTGGTGCAGCCACTATGGAAAACAGTATGGAGGTTCCTCAAAAAATTAAAAATAGAACTACCTTATAATGCAGCAATTCCACTTCTAGGTATGTATCCGAACACTAATTTGAAAAGACATATGCACCCCTATGTTCACTGCAGTGTTATTTACAATAGCTAAGATAATGGAAGCAACCCAAGTGTCCATTAATAGACAATTGGATAAAGAAGAGGTGGTACATATATAAAATAGAATATTACTCTGCCATAAAAAGAATAAAATTTTACCATTTGCGACAATGTGGATGGACCTAGACGATATTATGCTGAGTGAAATCAGTTAATCAGAGAAAGACAAATACCATATGATTTCTCTTATATGTGGAATCGAAAGAACAAAATAAATGAAAAAACAACACAGAAACATATTCATAGATACAGAGAACAAAGTGATGTTGTCAGATTGGGGGGTGTTGGGTGCTGGGGGGAAAAAGTGATGGGATTAAGAAGTTCAAATTGGTAGCTACAAAATAGTCACAGGGATGTAAAGTGCAGCATAAAAATATTGTCAGTAATATTGTAATAACTATGTGTGGTGCTAGGTAGATCACTTGTAAATTATGTATATCTTCCCACTATGCTGTACATCTGAAACTAATATAAAATTCGTGCACATTGAAAGGAAATTAATTAGAAGGTGGTTGGTGGGGTGGGACTAGGCTAGACAGGCCGGACATGCCCTGGAGCCAACCTCCTGTGGTCCCTCCCCAGCCAGTCACACCTTGGGTGGTGCTTTGGTTTGAAGGGTGTCTGCAGAGTGAGTGGGGTCCCTCTGGCAGGTGGCGTCTGTCAGCTTGGCCTGTGGGCCTGGCTGAAACCAGCTCTCTAATATTCCCCGAGGGGTCCCGGAGTGCAAGAGGGCACTCTGCAAAGTTGCTGTCCTATAGGGTGTGGAACGCAAATGCAAGTGTGCAGTAAACCAGATTTGGGGCCGACAGTGCCCCAGCAACAACAACCCATGGCTGAAGGTGGAATGGTGTGGCCCTGTGAGGAATTGGGCTCCTTCCTCTCTGGTTTTGGGATGTGTCACCTGAGAACCACTGCTGTCAAGTCACTGCAGCTCAGCTGCTCCTGTGTTGAGCGTCTGACCCCTGGTGGTCAGTGCACATAATAGCTACCAGTCGAACAGACACTTAGCATATTAGTCTTTTATATATATAGATATTGAATGTCAACTATAATTGAAAGTTTAAAAAATAGTATAGAGGATAGTAGACCCCAGAGCTTGGAAAAGTTAGACAAGGAGGTAATATTTGAGTTGGAACTTGAAGATGGAATATACTAAGCAGAAAAGTGTTGGGAAGGGGAGGGAACACATACATTTTAGGAAACAAGAGTGCCAAGGTATGGTCATTAAAGAGTACAATGTGTTAGACAGAGATGGGTGAGTTCACCAAGTCTAGACTATGAACAGGATGGGGAAAGATGAAGTTGGAGCAATTATAAAATGCAGTGGGACTATGAATACTGCATTTGGGGGTAGCTGAACTGACTACAATTCTGGTTCTGCCACATTGTAACTGAGTAACTCTGGTCAAACCTTGTATACTAGTAGTTTATGATCCTCAGTTTCTTACCTACCAAATGGAGACCTAATAATATCTACTTCATGGGGCTATGTGGAATTAAACTGACAATGCATATAAAGTACTTGGCACATGCCAAGTGCTCAAAAAGCCTTTGCTATTATTATTAGGTAACCTGGGAACAGATTACTAAATATCTTGAATGCTATGTTAAGGCAGATGGAGGATAAACTGAAGTGCGGAAAACCTAATGGCTAAAAGACTTATGGTTGCTCTAACAGGCCAGGTTGGGATGAAGATCTGAAATAAGACTGTGGCAGTGGAGATACAAAGAACCAGTTGGTTTCAGAAGTCATCTCTGGTATTGAAATGCCAAGATTTGTGGCTAATTGAATGTGAGGGAATTCTGAAAAGACTGAGTGAACAGTGACATTGTGAAGAAGAGCAGTTCTAGGTGGTAGCTGGAGTTGAAGGCTCTAAATGCCTCCAAGTACAAAGCCTGTTTGAGGCAAGTGGTCTTAATTATTTTGTGCATAACACTGATGTGGCTCCTCCCACAAGCATTGTAAGAAACAGTCTACTGCTTTTTGAATGCTTCAGGAAGTGGGACTAAAACAGACCACTGGTCTTGCAAATTAGGAGATTGAGTGGAGATGGTGAAAACAGAGTAGGCAGACTGCAATGGATTAAGGAATAAGCAGGAACCGGAGATCAAGTATAGACAATTTTTTCAAGAAGTGCCAGCTCTAAAGGGAAGACGCAAGCAATAGCTCAAGAAGGAGTGTAGAGGGTGCTGTGTATTGGTTTACTGAACACCTGCAGTCCTTTAGTGTACACAAGCTGGAAAGCTAAAAACTACATTTCCCACATTCCCTTGTAGCTGGGGTTCAGATGTGATTTAAGTTTTGCCAGTCAGATGCACTAGTGTATCACTTGGATTTTGAAGCCAGCAGGGGTTAAGACAGAGGGTGCAGGGCATCCATATGGGGCTGCTGATAACCGCAGAGATGTGCTTCTTGAACTGGCAGCTTCAGTGGCAGCTTCCTAACTGTAGAAGTAGCAGCTCCCTGAGCAGTCTTTGGGAGTTATTTTTGGAAATTCAGTCTAGGATTTGTTTCTTCAAGCCTTCCCAACAGTTCTGTGATTCATTTAATGCCCTGTAACATTTCCCTTCCTGCTGAGACAAGCTCAAATGGATTCTGTTTTCTGCAACTGAACTCTGATTGATACAGGGGACAGGGTATGTGTTTCTTTAAAAAAAAAAAAAAAAAAAAAGAAAAAAAAAAAAAAAGAAAAGAATGTAGCCTGGCTGGTGTGGCCCAGTGGTTGAGTGCTGACCCATTCACCAAGAGTTGCTGGTTTGATTCCTGGTCAGTGCACATGCCCGGGTTGTGGGTTTGATCCCCAGTAGGTGTTGTGCAGGAGGCAGCCAAGTGATGTTTCTCTCTTATTGAAGTTTCTATCTCTCTCTCTCTCCCTTCTTCTCTAAAAATCACAGATCAATGCTTAACTATTGAGTCACACCAGCTGGGCAATTTGTTTGTTACATATCAGTAGATAATATGCTGGGATACAGTACAGGTAGAAGGGTGAGTTAGCTTGGAGAAGAAGTATACCTCTGAAATAAAGAAAAAGATGGGTGCTGTAAGAGTTAGATCTAGAAATGGAAAAAAGGAGGAGCTAAGTTTGATGACCAGTATTTTCTCTCGAGTGTAATAGGCAAAGCCATTGGCTGAAAGTGGTGGTGGGAAGTAGAGACTATAAAGTTGAGAACAATAAAAAGGGTGCAAGGGTAACCAGGCAAATCTGAATAAGCCAAATAGGAATGAGTGCCTGGGTTAAGAAATCATACATCTGCAGCAGAGTCAGTTGGCATATTTATGTGATTTTCTATCACTACGCACAATACTCTTAAAATAAACAGAGTAAGAGGTAGTGGGTTTCACTTGACTTTGGAATTTGTGAAGCGAGACAGTGGACAACAGTGGGGTCAAGGGAACCCTGGGTGATAATTTAGGCTACTGAAATGACTGACCATGGAGTCCAAGCTGGTAGACATGAAAATGAGTCTAGAAACTCTAGCCTGAAAGAATAAGAGGTTCCCAAAATCAACATTTAGGGAAGCAGGATGGTTATAGAAGCCAAAAGCAGTAAATTAGAAACCAGAAGTCCCACGTCATGGTCACAGCTCACTACTGACAAGCTGTGATAAAATTTTCAGGGCTTGTTTCCCCCCCTACTCTAAAACACTAAGAACAGTGGCTTACCCACAGTAAACACTGTATAACAATTTTACTAGTAGCAATTACTCGACTGTTTTAAAATTATACATTATTTGATACATACATAAGCAGCATAAGATAAACACTGAGAAATTCATCACCCAACTTAATAAACAGAATACTACTAATACACTGTATTCTTTCCTCATCCCATCCCCCTACTTCTCCCCCAGAGATAACCACTATCTTGAATTTTGTTTATCATTCTCATTCCTTTATTAAAAGACTAGAGGCCTGGTGTACAAAATTCATGCATGGGTGGGGGGGTGTCCCTCAGCCTGGCCTGCACCCTCTCTAATCCGGGACCCCTCGGGGGATGTCTGACCGCCTCTTGCAATCTGGCACCGCTGGCTCCTAACCGCTTGCCTGCCTGCCTGATCTCCCCTAACTGCTCCCCTGATTGCCCTGTCTCTACCTCGCCCTGCACCCAGGACCCAGGATTCTCTCCTCTGGCCAGTCGCAGGCACCCAGGACCCGAGCAGGCTTCCCCTGGGGCCAGCCGCAGCCGCAGGGGACTGTGGGCAGGCGGCTTTGCCTGGGCTGCAGCCACAGGTGCCCGGGACTGCGGGGTAGGTGGCTTGTCCCCCTCCAGGGCCACAGCCTGGCTGGTCCCCGTTCCTCTCTCACAAGCTCATTTGTGCCTGGCTGGTCCCCATTCCTCTCTCCCCAGTGTTGAGTGTCTGAGCCATTAAGGTGTGAGGATGTGATGACCATTTGCATATTAGCTCTTTATTATATAGGATGACATGTTGCACATTTTCTCAGGGCCTGTTTCTTCATATGTAAGATGAAATTTTGGGTTCGGGGTTCTCTAAGCTCCCTCCAGTTTTAAGAATATATGAGATATGATAGGTGGATGTCAGAGTTACATACCTAGTGGAACCATATCAATGCTTATTTTTCAAGGTTTTGTAAAGTTAAAACACTGATTCTTCTGTTGAAACTGCCAATTCAACAAAAGGATATCTCAGTGGAGCTTCTAAGCTCCAGATCAAGACTTCCCATCACTTTCAATTTGCACCTCTGCTGCAAAGTTCCACTCCAGAGAAAACCAACACAAAGACCTAAATAACCCCATCCACTGAAAATCTGAACTCCAAGCCTCAGGAAATAAAATCCAAACAGACAAACCAGGAAAGCACACTTTATTTCAGTATTTTAATAACAATTAAGAGGCATGGTTGGATTCATACTCAGCTTTTCATATAAACTGGACTTATTTCCTTTCTTTATGTGTGTGTGTGTGTGCATAACAAAGTAAAATACTAAACTTATCTTCACATTTCCTCAAAGGTTCTTACATTATTTTAGTTTCATATAAAACAGTCTTTAATTAAGGTAAACACAAAAGCAAACCTTCTGACCATATGGTTGTTATTACGGTTACTGTTCGCCTAGGATGCTGTTCTTCCTTTTTATATACAATCTTAGATTTTATATGTCTCACCAGTTACCAAGTTTATAAAACTGAGCTGCACCAGGCAGTAGAATGGCTATGTATAGGGCTAATCCCCTGTTCACACACAGGTGTGCATTCTTCAGACTGCCATAGCTGGAACAAAGTCAGCTGAGACTGTTGTTATAACAGGTTAATGTCTCTAGTGGCCTCTGAAAAGGCCATGACTGTAAGGTAGGATACGAATATGTTCCAAAGCTTAACAGTACCAGGAAGATAGTGATCAAAGGAATGAGCCACCACTACAGTATTTTTCTCCTGGAATTTAGGTAGTTTTCCTTATTCTACCCCTTGTACTGATACAAGAAATGCATGTTTTCTCAGAGGTCTTTTCTTCGCAAGGCCAGTCCTGCTTCGATCATTTAAATTATAGTATACAAATCAACTTGATTTTTATATCCTGCATCTTTAAAAAAGGTAATAAGTATAATGTTATCTCCTTGGTTTCTGCCTACGTTTGAGCTTAATGTGAATTGTGAAAAGTACAAGTAAAGAAGTCTAAGAATGCCAATATAGATACACACATTTTGTCTAAGAGACTAACACAAGCAGCTACTGTTCTCCCTCACCAATGAAAGGGTACTGCGATGCATTATTCGAAATTAAATCTGCATACTTTCCTCATTTAGCTCAGGTATAACTACCAGGAGAGCTAAAGGTCCTTTATTACTTACATTTGTTTATTCCTGGTAATAACATTTGCAAATCACAATGGCACTTCTAGAACCCCTATAGAGAAAGGCAATTTTTCAAAAAGCAAATCGTCTCTTTGGGGTAGAATCTGGAAGCCCTACATAAGATCAAAATGTAGGACTCAGAGGCTCTGGACTAAGGTTTCAAAACACCTCTGTATTTAACCATAACACCTGACTGTAACTGAAATTAAGGCAGAGTATTCAATTCTTTATCTTCCACTGTTCACATCCCAAAGGGAGGGTATCATCCCCAAAAGAGAGTCTCAAAGATTGGTAAACGTCTCCTCCCAATATCTGGCAGAAGTGGTAAATAGTCACTTTTGTTCTAGTTTTTGAGAATCTCTAAAAATCTCCAGGAAACAAAGTCCAGACTAGTGAATCGTAGGCCCAATAAGAATCCCAGGCAGTCCCTGAAAGGTCCTGGATCAGACAAATTGGTTGCTTTAATCATTAGTTTACCAAAGAAACAACAGGATTGTCTATTTTGTGAGCTAATAACACAGGCAGCCAGTGATTCTCCCATGTGAGTGTTATACTCCAAAGAGTCAGATGTATTGTGATTAAATTCTAGTAGTCATGAGCAAAGAGCTGTTTTCCTAAAATAACAAAATCAGGGTTTTCATTTGCTTTTCATAAATGTTAGATGTTAGCCTATCACCTCTTTAAATATTAAATAAAAACACAAAGTAACTATTTTCTGTTTAATTCTTTGCAATGAGACTCATGTCCCTGCTTATTTCTCCTAAACTAGGTGGGAGTTCTGGGTTACAAGTATAGCAGATGATAGTTTTGTTCTGTCATCACCTGAACAGTTGAAATCAAAAGGGTTTTGCATTTTCCAGTAATAAGACTATTTTTAAATAAAGTGTTTGTAAGGTATTGATTGATACACAAACATAAGTGACCAGGACTGGGGCATAAAGGGTGTTTCCCCCGCTCCTCAGTATATTCACTACCCTCTCAGGAGAAAGGGCCTAGTTATTCACTTAAGATCATGCAGCTAAGCAGAACTACTACTGTACTGGGGCTTATCTTGAACCTGTTTTTAGAGTTTGGAACTAAAGAAACAGACAGCTCTGCTTCATCAGGGAAGAATTTTGAGTAAAACTGGTGGGAGAAGGCCTGCTTCCCCTTATCTGTTACTCTGCTAGAGAGATCCCTTTTGGGATTGTCAGTATGCTTCATCCAAGTCCCTATCTATACCAGATCACAAACCCCTCCCATGCCAGACAGTTTTAAAACCAAACCAAGTCAAACTTGAAAACAACCACACAAAAACAATCCAAACAATCTCTGGGGAGACTTTGAAGTCTCCTTGGAAGGGCCAACAAGATGCTAAGATATCCAGAGCTTTGGATGTTTCAAAATCTAACTTATTACACATACATCCCAGGTAGTCAGCAGGGCCCTCACACATTTCAACTTTGAAACTTAAACTTCACACACAGGTGGAAAGCCTCTCTCTCTTCTCCACATGTACACTTGTTCCTCCCCTCCATTCCAATCTTCACTCCTATATAATCTATATCTAGTCTGACAACTAGTACGTCTAGCTGGAATGTAGGAGAGATAAATACAAGAAACCTCCCCTAGGTTGGAAATATTTAGACAGACGATGTCCTCAAGTTTCTAACAAGAATGGGGCATTTTGCCCTATAAATGCTATCAGTATCTGGTGACCCTGGATAAACAGATGCACTGATCAAATGGGTCCATTCATACTAATGGGAAAAAGAATTTGGTCCACATATGTCAGAGAACACAAATACTCAGTTACTTTTTCCAACCCAAGTTTCTTGCCTGCATTTGATGGCTTCTTTAAGATTCTTTAAATAATTATGTTTCATTAATGTGGAATGGGATGTGCTTTCTGATCTTGGGGCTCAGGGACTTGACCAAACTATCAAGCTATCTACACCAATGGTTTATTTGAAATAGTTTTAAAACTATGCGGAGTCTTTCTTGCATCAAATGAGGACTCAAAAGAGGGGAGAGAAAAAAAGGCATTTGTCAGTTTGAAAGTCACAGACAGTTTATCTTTCTATAATTAGATTAGGAGAAAAATGAAGAACCCACTGATAGCAGGAAGAAGCAAGAGTCTTCTAGGTTCAGTCATCTGTAAGGAAATGAGAAAAAAAATTTTTTTAGTTCCTTTCAGTGACAAAGGCAACAAGTGCATATGACAATGGGCCACACAACTACAACACAATTAAAATCTCTTGGTCGCTGGAGGAATCTGCTGTTTATGGCAGAGCACCAAGTACCTTCTGACCTTGAGCTCTTTAGTACCACTAAGCACAGAGAAACTTGACTTAAAAGCAATCTACGCAGAGATCAATGTACACTCCTGTGTCAACAGTTTTTTGACTCAGGAGAAAATCAGAATTGACTATCTAGGCAATTGACTCCTGCAGACAATTCTGGATTAATTCTAATTAACTTATATTGATCTTTTTTCTTTTTATTCACTCTACTACTAATTAATTTACCAGTATTGTCTGAGCTATTATAATGTACATCAGGTGAACAAAAATTAGTATTACTTGCTTTTGAGGCACCTATCTATTAAAAAATGGAGTGGTTGATACACACACAAATGGGATAAAGCATACTGACTATAAGGTAAACAAATCCTTTTCACTTCTGTGCATTCAAAAAACCTTTCCACCCATAATTAATTCCTTAAGGGAATAAGTCATGTCTTCTATTTCTTTTGTACCCTTCCATAGAAGCTAGAGAATTCTGCAACAACAGGCATTTAAAAAATGATAAGAAGGTCTGCGGCTGTTTAAAGAGTCTGAACTAACATAGGATAATTTTTTTTTTTCCTGATTCCTCAGGGGTTACACAGAAAAATAAATTTAGTTCCAAATGAGAGGTGTGTCTTTTCTTAAGTGATAGAATAGAAGTTTCTCCTAGGCTTTTGCCTTAAGAGTAGCCATTTTTTACTAGGTAACTATCCATACTAGAGCACCAAGTATTTTGTACAGTGTGTAAGAGGATTTAAAGTTCATGATTTATCCAGATCTGTGTGCACTTTCCTGGCGCACCCTAGTGCTATTGTGTCTCTTTTCCTTCAGGGGCCAGATGTAATTTTATGCCTTCCTGATATATTTAACAATTTAATGTCAGAACCTATCAAGAAAAATGGCTGATACTGGAAGCAACTGATAGTTATAGTCTATAGCTAAGGAGTGTTTACTTTTAGAATCTCCTTTCTACTTCTCACCAGAAGAAACATCAGCTTTCATATAAAATGAGACCTAACTCACAGAAGATCCATCTGATTCACTGTCCAGAGGAAGTGAATGAACTCAAAGGCAAGAGGCCACTCACTCATTCATTCACTAAATATTCACTGAGGACTTACTAGCTCAAGACAGTGGGGGATATAATCCCATCCCTAGCCTTTTTTAACATTTCTTTTGCCAGGGGCAAACGCAGCCAGGACAGCATTTGAAGCACCAAACTTGGCTCTGCTATGGGCATAGTAACCTCGAGGAAAGGCTTCATCTGTGGAAAGTAAACTTTTTGCTCTCTTCATATAGATATTTTGAAGTTTTGTTCAATCAAATATTCAGATAAGATCAACAGTGCAAGACTCTTAGAAACCCGAAACTTTTAAGTGCTCATTAAAAAGAGTCTGAATATTTTGATGTGTTAAACTGTACTGCACAGAGAAAGAACTGCAGAGTAGTGAAGCACAGCTGTCTGATTAATCTCAGCCCATTAAAGGGGTATGAGAGATCTAGAATGCAACGCTGATAGAAAAAGAAAAAGGCAATGTGTAGTAACTCTAGGGAAAGCAACTTGGCGTGTTAACCGAATTCTAATTTAATCAGTAAATGCCTTTTCATTAGTGTGTAAAGCCATAACAGAAGCTATATACTTAAAAAATATAGGCACACACAAAGCTTTAATTTGGTACCATAATCTGAAAGACAATTGGACCCAAATTGCTTTATGTCCAGTTAAATCTTGCTACCATCGGAGAAGGTAGTGAAATAAAACTGAAACACTTACTTGATGAGATATTCAGTTACTGTGCATTTCCATCTATAGAGTAGAAATATTTCAAAATAAATACACCATGTCAATTGAAATTCACTCCATCCTCTACTCTTAACTAAACACAAACAATTTATTCTGAAGTATATTGAATCACAATATAAAAGTAGAAGAATGCATTCATTCATTCATTTATTTTTAAATTCTTACCCAAGGACATGTGCTTTTATTGATTATAGAGAGAGAGGAAGGAAGAGGGGGATGGGAGAGAAGAGGAGAGGGAGGAGAGGGAGAAGGAGTGGGAGAGGGAGGGAGAGAGACATCAGTTGGTTGCCTCCCATATGCGCCTGAACTGGGGATTGGACCTATAACCTGGATATGTGCCAATTGAGCCACACCGGTCAGGGCTAAAAGTAGAAGAATTTAAAATTAGTGATTGCATTCTACTCAAGTGCATGAAAAAAGAAGATAGTTCTTTACCTATCAAGCCTTCTGACATATGATTTGGTGATCTCATTTTTTGGGCAAGTATCCAAAGGGAAGTTTTTTTTTAAAGGAAATCCTTTAGCCACCTAAAAATTAACTCAAACTGTGGCAAAGACCAAAACCAAGGGAATCTGAATTGGTAGGCAACATTAGAAAAATAAAGTTTATATTAAATATGATGGTTATCTTGGGTGTTCCATATGTGGGAATTTCTTTACCAGGGTGGTATGATACAAATTTAGTATGTTTGCTCAGCATGGTCTCTGATGTCTAGGAAAGACATTCAAATACTATTTTTATGCTGATTCTTATGACTCATAACTTTCATGTTTTCTCTACACATTTCCTTTTAGGTCCCTGAAATCCAATTTTTAATCCCAATTCCCTATTGATCTTATGTCTTAAAAATCAAGGATGACTTCCTCCTAACCAAAATCAATAGTCTTTTTTGTTGTTGTTAATCCTCACCTGGGAATATTTTTTCCATTGATTTTTTTAGAGAGAGTGGAAGGGAGGAAGTGAGGGGAAGGAGGTGTGGAGGAGAGGAGGAGAGGAGGAGAGGGGGAGAGGGAGAGAGGGAGAGGGGAGAGAGAGAGAGAGAAAGAGAGAGAGAGAGAGAAAGGACACCTCACATCGATGTGAGACATCATCTGGTTACCTTCTGCATGCACTCCAATCACGACCAGGGATTGAACCTGCAACCCAGGTACATGCCCTTGACCAGGAAATGAACTTGCAACCCTTTGGTGCTCGGGCTGACACTCTAACCACTGACACACTGGTCAGGGCAATAGTCTTCTAAAAAATATGTTCTTACTTATTTTATTTTTTAAAATGTTTTTATTGATTTTAGAGAGAGAGAGAAAGGGAGAGGGAGAGATAGAAACACTGATGAGAGAGAAACATCAATATTGATCAGCTGCTTCTCGCACACCCCCTGCTGGGGACTGAGCCTACAACCTGGGCATGGGTCCTGACCAGGAATTGGTGCGTGGGTTGACACTCAACCACTGTGCCACAGTAGCCAGGCAGGGCAATAGTCTTTTTATTGCTCCCCAAATTTACTCATGGTATTTGACGTCAGTGGTCACCCTATCTTGAAAATATTCTTTTGGTTTCTGTGATCTTGTACTTTCCCGATACTAACCAGAACCAGGACTAGGGTGAACTGAGTGAAGCCCTTAGGGCAGTGGTTCTCCACCTTCTGGCCCTTTAAATACAGTTCCTCATGTTGTGACCCAACCATAAAATTATTTTCGTTGCTACTTCATAACTGTAATGTTGCTACTGTTATGAATTGTAATGTAAATATCTGATATGCAGGATGGTCTTAGGCGACCCCTGTGAAAGGGTTGTTCGACCGCCAAAGGGGTCGCGACCCACAGGTTGAGAACCGCTGCCTTAGGGTATAAAATTTAAGAGCTGCTCATTCTCAGGGTTGTGAGAGTGCAAGGTATTCAGACTAAACATGTTTTTGAATATAAAGACTAACTACATTTATTAGCACAAAGAAAATAATAAAAGCATTCTGTCTCATTACACTTACTGTTTTTCCATGGCAGAACATACGGCAGAGACTTGGGAACGCGCATGCCTGAAGCCAGGTTACTCTTATGTTCCATAACTATGTTGCTTGCAGGGCTGCAAAAAGAAAGATAAATCTGACTATGCCAGCATTCTTCAGGCAGGCACACACAAGACAATCAAAATGTGTTTTTTGTAATTTGGGGGAAAACAAAACAGACTACATTATGAAATGTAAACACATTTCCATCAAAACATTCTCGCAATCAGAATGATTACCATTTCTCTGGAAAGCTCACTGTTCTGTACAGGCATTAAGATGGGTCTAAGTATTTTCATTTCTTAGAAATTTATATAAACAGTAATGCCATCTACTGTTCAGTTGTATGACAAACACATCAATTCACTCAATAAACATGAGATAAAATAAAATGCCAAGACAATCAAACTAAAGGCAACAAATCTCAAAGAACTGAGGCAAAATTAAAATTGTACTAGTGAAATTCATTTTTAAGTTTTTCTATCTTAATGCATACACAAAATAAGGTACAGTTACAATTACTAGCTGACCTCAGGAGCTAAGAAATAAAAATGGGTAAGTATTCAATTGGGGGAAAAATGAAGTCTAACATCTCAGTCCTTTATTTTCTAATCCAGAAATATTCTCATTTGGATTTGAAATGTGATCTTCTAAGGTTTAAAAATAAAATAATAATGAGAAATCTTACAGACTTCAAAATTATATGCAAAATCAGTGGGAAGAAGAGATGCATTTTTTCCCCTACCCAACAGGTATTTTGGATTCCCTACTCTTAAACAAACAACTTTTAAGATTATTTTTTCCTTAAACACTAGTTACCAAGAGTAAAAATGATCCATGTAGTATAGCTGGGGATTTTTTTTTAAAGCATTAAAATAATATGAACCTAGTGAAAAACTCAACTAAGACATAAGAATATCTGGCTCCACTGTCTCCTTTGCTAGACTCTAAGCTAGTATTTTTGTGTTCCCACAGTGATTTACACAAAGCATGTGACCTTTTTATGAATCAAGGAAGAAATAAGAAAAATAATCCACCAAAACAATATCTAGACTAAGTTACTACCAAGTAACGTCATCAAGGAAAGAGATCAATTCATGCTTTGGTGGCTTTTTTGGGTAACAAAGCCCTGATTTTGGGAGCCAGTACTGGGAATGAGACAATTTCATTTACCTGTTCTTGCCACAGTAGTTGGCTGTGCCCCAGACAAATGGGGTGCTAGTTTGTTCCCACAAATCTGCCAAAGAAAGCAAAACATAGTTTGTGGTATAAGACACCAGTTTATGCTAGTTGAATTTGTAAGATGGGAAATAATACACCTAAGTTTAGAGAAGGAAGTAAAAATTGATCAAGTACCCCGCCTAAGTGACATAGTAGCAGGAATTTAATTGAAGAATATAAACACAAACGACATAAATAATAATAAACGTGCCCAGAAACAGCTAAACACAGATGGCATAGCACAATTTATGGAAGAAGACAGATGTAAAGAAGTGCTTTTTCCAATCAAGAAGAGGAGGCTGCTCCACGTGTCTGCACAGTCATACAAATGTGCTCATTTTGGGGCCCAATAAAAATAACAAAGCATTCTGCAAAACATGGCATGTCCATAAAACAGGAAAATCTTCCTTCTGTCTAAAGCAAGTGACTTGAGATTTAGATATTGTGCAGAAAAAGATGCAGAAGCACTTACCTTTATCCCAGTCTTCATCACAAGGAGGGCACTGCCATGTGCTCTCAACCAGAGTCTCTTGTCCAAGGTTCCTGGTTTGGTTGACTGTAAGACAATAGAGATTTTGACATGAGAACGGGACATTGCTAAGTTATGTTTAAAGGGGTTAGTGGCTAAAGAGGTTGCAGGGTAGCTCAATGGGTCTTTGTTTCTCAAAGATAAACAGAGTGGTCTTATCCCCTTGCTGACAGAGGACATGAAAGAAATAGCAGAAACAAAGATATTTATCATATCTGTGGCAAGAAAAGGATTTTTTTAGTTAGATGAATTACTGGTAAAGTGAATAAGGTTGTTTAGAAGAGAAAGCATTCTAACAAACATAACCTGACAACCTTTTCCTGCTGAAAGTGTTCTTCAATATGGAAAGACAAAAATCAAGGTGACAATGTAGCATAACACAAATTTAAAGGGGCTAGCCTCTAGTACCAAAACATTTCAGCTAGTCAGTCTTACCAATGTCTTGCTCTATACAACTTTTGTCATCACAGCTTGAAATATGGTGACTGATTTCGGTCCGAGGAACCTGATGGCGAGCATTGAAGGGACAAGTAGCCAATTTGTTTGCGACATCAGGATGATTCTGTGGAACAAAAATTAAGGAGTCTATCAATTCTCTGGACCTCTTAAAAGTCCAAGGGGCATGGCTCAGCTTTATCTATAAATGGCTCCCCTAAAATCTCTCAATAAACTTGTAGCTTAGCTATGATAGATAAATTCATAGTAGAAAATTAAGAGGAATTTTTTTTTATCATTCATACAGACCATATAATTTCTCAAAATCATCAAAACGTAAGCCTCTTTGTTATGACTATAGAGACTGACAACACAGATTTTAGGGTTAAAACGATTTATGTGGAGGTAAAGAGCAAATTTAGAATTGGGTATTTGAACCACATCTTCTCTCCCTGTTCTTCAGAGTCATGAGATTCAAGTGGCACAGCATGTAATGGTAGAGCTCTTTGGATGTCTTTGAAAGCTGATATTGAGGATACACAGTAATGCTAAAACACACTCCCAGTCTGCATTGCAGTAGTGTCCCTGTTATTGCAATACAATAAGGCTGGAAAATAATTGTTAGAAGGGAGCTGCAGAAGAAGCAAACCAGTGATTTTTCAGATTAACTTGGGAACACTTATTTAAAGTAATGATGCCTGAAATGAGGCTCTGAATAATTTGACCTTTATTTCAGTTATTTCACTAAGGAAAAGCCCAAATGATAGAGTCTACTCTGCTGACCAAGTTTCTTATTAAAACAAAACAAAGTATTTAATGTTACTCAAATCTTATGGTAATATACCAGCAATTAAGAAATTTACTTAATAGGATAAGAAAAACATATCATACAATACTAAAAAAAAGGTAAAAATAATGTGAAATGGGGAGAAGGCTGGAAAAAAAAAAATAGAGGGCGGAGAAAATTGTGAGGGCATTTGTCTCCATGTTTTTGTAAGGGATATCAGGTATTCCAATGCAACGGTTTTGTGGCCAAAGATTAAGTGCATTAGGAGAGGACGTTGTGGTGGTATATTCAGATCCATACTGTCCATGTTCAACTTTAAGGGATCTTTGTTCAAAAGATTAAAAAGAGCTGGAGAACTAAAAATTGGCATTATAATCATATCTCCAGGACTACAAGAGAAATAGTCATGAAAGGATGTTAATACATATATAAATCGCATGCAGTTTGGATTAAGTACCAAAACTGTTTCCCAAGCATCAGTCCTGGCAGAACTTTGGCCTCTGTATCTGACATCAGCATTCTAACAATCTTTTCAAAGTGCCTCAGTTACTATACCAGCATTAAAGTAGTTTACATCAGCTAAGTCTACAAAAGAATGACCAGAGAAGAAACACTAATAAGTTGTTTTTTATTTTCCCCCTCAAAGATGCTGTTGAAATTTGGAAAAAGAGTTAATTTTAGGAATAAGTTTTTCTTGGGCTAACCTCTAACTGTTCAACTTCTCTAAAATTTATAATAAAAAATATCGGAAATCAGTGTATTATTGACTCAATCCTTATCAGCATTAATTTCACAAGGCGGAAGGGATTTTCTCATTGCTAGCAAAAATTAGTGTTTCCTCTTTTTACAAAGGGAGTAACGACTCCAGAGAAGCTGTTTATCACTATGGGTGCTTATCACTAGTTTGGGGGGGGGGGGGGAACAAAATAGGAAAAAACTGATGTACCCAAGAAGTAAACAAACTCCTTTCTATAAATGTTGGTATTTAATACAAAGGTAGAGTCCCAAAACAATTCTGGAAATTCAATTTAACACATTCAAATTATCTGATATTTACAGAATTTGTTTTTTTAAAAACAACTCAGAGGGTATCACATGGCAAATTATGAAAATAATACCCTACCTTTCTGCACTTGATAAGATGATAAGGAAACCTGCAGGCTCTGATCTGGTGGTTTTTATCATAGGGACATTGTAATAGCTTTTCAGGGTCCAGGGAATCGACTGAGAGAGAGAAAGAAATAGGATAAGTATAAAGCTTAATAGGTCTTTGGAAAACTACAGGATTACAGGCGCAATGTATTTTCTTTCTTTTAAAGCATTTTATTTTAAAAATATTTTTATTGATTTCAGAGAGGAAGGGAAAGGGAGATAGAAACAGCAATGATGAGAATCATTGATTGGCTGCCTCCTGCACGACCCCTACTGGGGATGGAGCCAGCAACCCATTCATGTGCCCTTGGCCGGAATCAAACCTGGGACCCTTCAGACCACAGGCTGAACCGGCTAGGGCAGGCACAATGTATTTTCATTTTTAAAGCACAATGTATTTTCCAACAGAATCTGGAACAATAGAATAAGACAGTCTGAAAACAACTTGAAATTTAAATAAAAGTGTAATTAAACATTTGAAAATGAAGATTTAACTCTGATAAAATTGTGTTAAGACCAGCAAAACCAGTGATCAAGGGATAAGGTCTTAGCTCATATTTGGTTGTACTTAAATATTGCTGTTTTCACCCAGCTGGCATGGCTCAGTGGTTGAGCATCAACCTATGAACCAGGAGGTCATCGTTCGATTCCGGTCAGGACACATGCCCAGATTGTGGGCTCAATCCCCAGTGTGGGGCATGCAGGAGGCAGCCAATCAATGATTCTCTCTCACTGATGTTTCAATTTCTCTTTCCCTCTGAAATAAATAAAAATATAAAAAAAGAAAAAAAATATTGTTTTCATTGTTGGTTATCCTTACTATTAAACAAAAAGTTACATGACATTATCTTTTCCTTTTCTAAAAGTGCTAATTCAGGGTCATTTATAGTCTAGCTAGCCAACCAGAGCTTCCCAACTAGTATGCTGAAGGTTGGAATGGATGGGGTGCCAATATTTCAAGGCAGGGGTCCACACACATGTGTTCCCATACCTTAACAGTCCCAGGGCAAGTTGAGGATAGTTACTCCTGCTTAAAAGCATCCCTGTCTATTTGCTAGTATGCCATGACGCGAAAAAAGCACTGCTCTATATCAGTGATATGTTCTATGGAAGATTGGGAAATTTTCATTGATAGATGACTTCTTTTTCACCTGTCTGCTTTAATTCATTACTACTATAAGTAGTTCCTGATCTTGGTTACTCAAGTTACCTCTCAAATGAAACCAATACCTTTATTAGATAAGTAGTTTTACCTTTTGTATTCTAATACATGAAAAAAAATCAGAATTCTTTAATTTAGTGATTATCGAATTTGCCATATTAAAAAAAACAGAATAATCTGCAAACACAGAGCCTCCTGAAGTTAAGACACTTGCAGACATATGAAGCTGCTATGTGAAAGAAAGCCCCTAACTTATATCATGCTAGTTAAAACTATCCTTAGAAGGCTATACTTTCAGGGATTATTTCCATAGTTTGGAATTGTGGAAATTTCTCTGAACATATCTCTCAGAGAAGTTCCTCTGAACATGTAACTACCCTTAGGCTTTACAAGATGCCCCGGCTGAGCCCCAAATTTTAATAGGCTGGTTAAAGAAGGGAAATTAAATGGTTAAGCACATTCTCAGTATATTATGAGGATGAGAAGCAACCTAATAAAATGCTTTGGCCCCCACTGAAGGCAATGATAAAAGTGAAATAGGATAAACAATTCACATTTGATAAAAGGCTTATAAACCAGGAGACTGCTATGAAAATCAGAAGCTAGTGGGGAATTGAAACAGACAGTTTCACTGAAGAGTGGTAAACATGGAATAAATTGCGAACCATGACCATGATGTAAATGAGCCAGAAAGGTGACGTGAAGGACAGAATGAATAGGAAGGAAAAATCTTAGAGGACAGGCAGGCTTATTATGCCAACCAGGCGTATCCTGACCAGCAATCTTTTCCTCTGAAGCTTCAGGACTCCCAGGGAGAGTTCACAGATGAAATTCATATTAAATCCTTTCATTTAGTCCATTCCATCACTAGCAAATGTTAAGCCATGTCTGCAGCTGACAGAACTGGACATACCTTATGATTCATACACACTTTATTGCCCACACAGTGGCATACGTCAGACTTGATAATGACAGTTTTCTACCATAAATGCTTTACTTTTTGGTCTCTAGTAATTTAGGTTAGCTCTAACCTGTTTTAGATTTAAAATTTTTATTTTCTTTTTAATTAAAAAATTTTAAATGGCTATAAAATATATACAACACAAAATTTGCCATCTTAACCATTTTTAAATATACAGGTCAATAGAGTTAAGTATATTCATGTTGTTGTGCAACCAATCTCCAGAATTTTTTTCATCTTTCAAGACTGAAACTCTATATCCATTAAACTCCCCATTCCCTCTTCCACCCAATCATGGCAAACACTCTTCTTTCTGTTTCTGAGTTTGACTAGCCTAGATACTTCATCATAGTATTTGTCTTTTTGTGACAGACTAATTTCACTTAGTATAATGTCCAAGTTTCCTCCATATTGTGGTGTGTGATGGGATTTCCTATACCCATTTTTGCTATTTGCTTAAAAAATTAAAAAAAATTAATCCTCACCAGAGAATATGTTTATTTATTTTAGAGAGAAAAAAAGGGGAAGAGAGGAAGGGAGGGAGGATGAGAGAGGCAGCGAGAGACAGAGAAACATCCATTGGCTGTCTCCCACAGGAACCCCCAACCTAGGTATGTGTCCTGACCTGGAATTGAATCTGTAACCTTTTGGTGTACGGAACAACACTCTAATCAACTGGGCCACCCAGCTAGGGCTGCCTTTTTTCTTTTTACTTAACATATCTTTGTGCTCCTTCTACGTGAGTCCATATATTTCATTACTGGTGGCCTTCCGCGCACACACCCCAACTAGGGGAGGGGCTAGGAGTGAACCCGAAACCGAGGTACATGCCCTTGACTAGGAATCGAACCCATACCCTTAAGTCTGAGGGCTGACACTCTAACCACTGAGTAAAACTGACTGGGCTCATAGATTATTATTTTTTTTTAAAATATATTTTAAATATATTTTATTGATTTTTCACAGAGAGGAAGGGAGAGGGATAGAGAGTTAGAAACATTGATGAAAGAGAAATATTGATCAGTTGCCTCCTGCACACTCCCCACTGGGGACATGCCGGCAACCAAGGTACATGCCGTTGACCGGAATCGAACCTGGGACCCTTGAGTCCGCAGGCTGATGCTCCATCCACTGAGCCAAACCGGTTAGGGCGGCTCATAGATTAATAATTTCCCTTACAGATGGACATTTAGGTTGTTTCCAGTTTTTACTTTTATTTTTTTAAAAAATATATTTATTGATTTTTTACAGAGAGGAAGAGGGATAGAGAGTTAGAAACATTGATGAGAGAGAAACATTGATCAGCTGCCTCCTGCACACCCCCTACTGGAAATCGAACCCGGGACCCTTCAGTCTGCAGGCCGACGCTCTATCCACTGAGCCAAACCGGTCAGGGACAGTTTTTACTTTTATATACAAATAGTCATGTAATGGAATTTGTGCACGGGGGTGGAGGGGGGGGTCCCTCAGCCTGGCCTGTGCCCTCTCCAATCCAGGACCCCTCGGGTGATGTCCGACTGCCGGTTTAGACCCGATCACACACCAGCAATCAGACATCCCTCTTGCAATCTGGGACTGCTGGCTCCTAACCGCTCACCTGCCTGCCTGCCTGAATGCCCCTAACCACCTCTGCCTGCTGGCCTGATGCCCCTAACTGCTCCCCTGCCAGTCCGATCACCCCCTAACGGCCCTCCCCTGCCGGCCTGATCGCCCCCTAACTGCCTCAGCCCCCACCACCATGGCTTTGTCTGGAAGGATGTCCAGAAGATGTCAGGTCTAATTAGCATATTACCCTTTTATTAGTATAGATGCTGTGACTAACAATCTAGTATATACTTCTTTGTGCATTGTATGAGTATTTGTGTTTGGCGGATACCTAAGAGTGCAATATTGATGTATATGCCTGGGCAAATAAATTATTCTAGGTTTTGTTTTCTCAGTGCAAAATTTGAGTGTTAAATAAAGTCATTTTCAGGTCTTTTTTGGTTCTACACTTGTGTGATTCTAGTGCTGGCTCCCTTTTGATTTCCTTGGCCATCTAAGAATCCTAGGTCACTTGAGAAATAAGAATATTCCCTAGGATTTCTTTAATCCTAAAAACTCAATCTACATTAACATTATGTATACCATATTACTCCTGAAAATAGAAAGAAAACACAGGTGTCCCAGTCCCAGCCTTTTCAAAGCTTGATGACTTCTCATACCTCTTTAACTATTTAAATTTTAAATATCTTATTTCAAATTTGGGCACTTCTCTATATTACTATCACACAGACCGTTTCTCTTCAACAGTTTAGGAGAAATATGAATCTTTGCCACACATTAGAAGTCCTGTCAGACATAAAATTGTATGCAAGTTAACTTATTTTCTAAAAGCAATAAGAAATACATACTGTAAGTTTCTTCCATGTTGGAAATGAAGGAGCCGAATCCAAGTGCTGGGGAGGGGGGGAAAAGCAGTGGTTCAGTGAATCAGAAATGAAACGTACGTAAAGGTGGCCCTAAGAGGTAGAGTCAAACTGGGATTGAAGCTACCCAAGTTCATTATGAGAAACCTATAGTGCCCTCCTTCCTCACATATTTTCCCCCCTTTAAAGCATTCTTTGTTACTTTAAAGCATTTCAATATCATGGCTTAATTCACACTCTTGGAGTAAATTATAGGGCTCCCAAATAGTTAAGAAAAATCACACCTGACTACTAACTTAAAATGTATTCAGGGGATGTCAGTCTATGTTAAGTGCCATTACAGTAGCCAATCACTGTTTACCATCTGTTAGGGTCTGATGCTATTTAACATTAGAGAGGGCAAATCAAGACCACAAGAATACTGTTGTTTTAAAAAAATAAAGGATGGAAAGGCTGCCAGTCTTGCTCCCCTCTGACACTTGGGAATGCTGGAAGCCGTCAGACAGTCTACACTCAATCCCTCCCATATGCCCAGCGATGTTCTCGCTTACTGTTTCTATGACTTTCCTTAAACGTGGTCAGGAAGTGCCACAGGCTTTCCACGGATGCTTTGCCTCCCCTCGGTCCCCCCATCTCCTATGCTAAAACGAGCAGACGTGGTTATTTAACCTATCCAGTTAACAGTCATTCCCCCTATGCTTTGAGATAAAACTTCTGAATGTTAGGACTAAAGAACTTCCCATTTTATGCATAACAGACCCATAAAAGAACAGGTCTGCAACGGAAATGCGGGAGATGAAAAGACAAGAATTGGTTTTGTAGTTTGAATTCTCTTCTCCTAGAGATCCCTCCTACTGAGCACTGTGATTAAATACACTTATCATTATGGGGGAAAACAACCCAAATTTATATAAAACCGCCCCGTAAGAACCTTCTGCAAATTGGCTCGATTTACAGTTACTGTCTCTGGAGCCAGCTCTCCTTTGGCCTCTCCTACAATTCCACACCCCTTCCCCCCCATTCTATGACATAAGCAGCCTTGGAATCCACGAAAAGAAATACCAGTGACCAGCTGGAACCCTAGTTTAGTAATTGGCCGCAGAGCCCATCTGTTAATTACAACCATTAGTGAAACTGTCGTAAAAACACTTGTTATGTCTGGATTAAGAAATTCTGACCTTTCTTTCGACATGTTTTACTTGTACACGGTCACTCTATGCTTTTAAAATCAAAATAAAAGAGGTCTGGAAGGAAGAGCCAAGTATTATCTTCCTGGATTTTAAGGCATTTAAATGAATGACCGGCATGGGAGTCAACAACCTGTAGGACGCCATCCTGACCTTTCAGGGGCAAAAGGACTAATTAGGGCAGGTCAAGGGCACTGGGACCCATGGCTCCTCGTCAGCCTTGTCCATTCAGGTGTCGTCCCCAGCAAACTGTTAACGGGATCTTCTATCTTTTCCCCGAGGACGAGCCGCGCTGAAACGGGCCAATGACACCACGTAGTTCCAGTTTGGGGGTGAATGTAGCCGGAGGTAACCGGTTACACTCAACAGAGCTGGGGCTCGGTAACATCGTTTTTCTTTCTTTAAACAGAACATTCCGAGTAGATTTAAGCGATGGGACTGAACAGGGGAAGCGGGGAAGGCGGATAACTTGTTTGTAGACAAAGGAGCTCGGAAGGCCCTCGAGGGGACGAAGCGGGGAACCGCCTGCAGCCGAACAGCTGCGCGGAGGCCCACCAGGCGCGTGAAGGGGGGACAACAGTTGGCGAGGGCACTCCGGCCCCCGAAGGTGCGTTGTTTGGGGGCCCTGAGTCAGGGCCGCGATGTCGCCCCTACCTGAGTCAAGACGCGCTCTCCACACAGTCGCCTCCACCCCGTGCCCTAGCAACGCTCCCTTCCGGCGCCCGACGTTAGGGGTGGGGCCCACTTCCGGTGACGTCGGTCTCCGCTCTGGCTGGGGCTGCGGGTGCAGCCATTGCGTTCCTTGGTGCGCCCTCCTCTGGCCTTTCCTTCCCCGTCTGCAGATCAGCCCCTCCCTTCAGGTCCGTCCTGTTGGGCCCGGGAGGATGGCGGCCTTGCGTGGGTGGGACGCGCTCCTTCCCCGGCTTTGCGGTGCCATCTTAGGGAAGAGAACGAGGCCTTAGAAATGGGCCTTCCAGGAGGAATGGGGCCCGTTAGAAGTGGGGCGCTGGTTGGAAAGAAGCCCTGTTTATGGAAATTGTCTAGATCAGTGGTTCTCAACTTTGGCTGCACGTTAGAATCACCTGGGAATCTTTTTAAAATCCTGATTTCTGGGACTCATCCTCCAGAAATTCTGTTTGTTACTAATGTTGTGGCCCCACCCCAAAACAAAGAAACAGAATTTCCGGAGGATGAGGCCCAGAAATCAGGATTTTAAAAAGATTCCCAGGTGATTCTAATGTGCAGCCAAGGTTGAGAACCACTGCTTTATGGAGAAAAGGGACTTGTGGCCTTTGAAGATTAGACAGAAAAAAAAAAGGGAAGTGTTGACACTGCAGGTAGATCTGGTGATGCTATTTTGCAAAACCAGGAAGTAGAAGTGTGATATGACAAATTTGTGTACGGTCCGCGGTGTAGGTGGCAGTCTGGGAGATCAGTTTGAATGCTGAAGTATTGTATTTTTGGAACATTTACCTGGTTTATAGAGCTTAAATGTGACTTAGGAGAATCTGTCCTGACAGCGAGGAACTGAATATGGCTTCAGTGAAAAGGATCATGGAAGGGAGGTGTTTTATTTTTACATGAATAATTTGTAAACAAATGATGAGTTTGTGTTTTTTTAAAAATTATCAGCCCTTGGGCTGAAGAGAGTGTGCTCTACAGCCTTTGCTTCATGTTAAGATCCTAAAAAGAAATGTGTTAGTGGAAGTTGGGCCCAAGCCATTCTTGTCAGCAGATGAGTCTTAATCTTGTCTGTGCATTAGAATCTGGGGAGCTTTTAAGACATAGTATTCCAGTTTCCCATCCTGGACCAAGTAATCAGAAAGGGCTGGGCATAGCCTTTTTAAAAGGCTGCCCAGATTATTTCAATGTGCCGTTAGTGCTGAAGACCACTGACCTCGGCACTGCTTTGAATTTACAAAAGCTATTCTTTCACCTGGGTGCCCCGGGTGATTTCTATGAAGGAGAAGCAAGCTGTTAAAGTGCTTCTTAAAACATAATTGCTAAGAGTAAAAGCTTCATTTCAGCCTCAGCACAAAGCATTTTAGAAAAAGCTGCTGTTTTGGCAACTCAGTTTTAGATTGTTAGGAATATCTTAAAGTATTCTTTATGAAATCCTCAACCTCTGAATTTATCTCAACATCATTCATGCAGATTGGTGGGGCCGGTGTGATTTGAAGTGAAATGTGATTTTTTTTTTTAAGGCTTTAAATTGCAGTAATCTGGTGAAAGTGTTGACACTGTTACTGTGACTCATAAGTGCTTTTCATTCAGACACCTGCAGATGGAAATTTCTGAGGAAGAAAAGGCTAAGGGTTTGAGAGGATGGCGAGTGGGCACCGCATCAGCATCCCCTTAAGGTCAGGCTTCACTGCATTCAGTAGTGCTCTGTGCAGGTGACAGGATCCTCAACTGATACCGCTGTTCTGTTTAGCACCAGTAAACAAGCCCACCAACTTAAAAAAATAAGCAAAAACCCAAACTGTCTTTCAGTAGAGATTTTAAAATAAAAACATGCCACACATTCATTCTTTCTAGTTTTATTATTTATTTATTTTTTTGACACATGACAAAATATTTAATGTCTGTGCATGTGCCTCCTCCTGCCTCAATTCCTGTTACGATTTGATAGCCTCCTTAAACTGGCAGTTCCAGAGAAAACATGGGCACTTATCCCCAGCAGGACTTGAAAACCATTAAAGCCCTGGTTCTCTTGATTTGGATGATTGTAGGTGAGCTCTTTCCACAGCATGCCTCAGGCCTCTGGTCAAGGAAAAGAGCCCCCCAGTTCTACAGGACTCCCAGTTCTACAGGACTCCTGAGGTCTTCTGTTCTTCCGCAGCCTGGCGCCGGGAGCTGCGCCGCTGGAAAAAGTGGTAGGCTCGAACACTGCAGAGGTAGCCCCCATACACAGTAAGCAGCATCATGGAGGTGGAGAAAGTCTTGTAGCCAGTGTCAGCTAGTTGCTTGGCAGTTGGCATGTCGTCCCCCTCTAGGATACGACTCCCAACGCAGAGAGAGCGCACCGCGTGCCGGACTCTGAGGCGGGAGCCGCGCCGCCCGCCGCCCAGGCTGGGTGCCATCCTTGAACTTCCATTCTTTCTATTTTTAAATGCTTTGTTCATTTCTTTCCAACCCAGAAAGTTCCTGCTTTATCTGAGATCCCTGCTGAGCTTTTTCAGACTTCTTCTTCTTCTTCTTCTTTTTTTTTTTTTTAAAGCCAGGTTGAATATCTTTGAAAAGGAAAATACAATGAGAGACCAAGGCATTTATACAGGGTCATTCTAGAAGCTAGCTGGGATTAATACCCTAAATTGAATCTCATCTGTGCTGGTTCTGTCTGGTGATATATAATATTTTATTATATACTAGAGGTCCGGTGCACGAAATTTGTGCACTAGGAGGGTTGTCCCTCAGCTCAGCCTGCACCCTCTCCAATCTGGGACCCCTCACGGGATGTCCGACTGCCAGTTTAGGCCCGATCCTGGCAGTTGGACATCCCTCTCACAATCCGGGACTGTTGGCTCCCAACCGATTGCCTGCCTGCCTGATTGCCCCTAACCACTTCTGCCTGCCAACCTGATCACCCCCTAACCACTCCCCTGCCAGCCTGATCAACGCCTAACTGCTCCCCTGCCTGCCTGATCGCTCCCAACTGCCCTCCCCTGCAAGCCTAGTTGCCCCCAACTGCCCTCCCCTGCAGGCCTGGTCGCCCCCAACTGCCCTCCCCTGCCAGCCATCTTGTGGCAGCCATCTTTGTACCACATGGGGGTGGCCATCTTGTGCCAGGGTGTGATGGTCAATTTGCATATTACCTCTTTATTATATAGGTTTATATAGTGTTATATTTTGGAATTAATAATTATTAGTTAAAAACAAACACTCTGGACTAATGAGATCTCTAGTGATTGGAAAAAATATTTGTTAGAAAATCAGTTTTCTCAGCTTTTATTTTTATTTTTTTAAATTTAAAATTTTTATTGTTTAAAGTATTACATGAGTTTCCTTTTCCCCTCATTGGCCTATCGCTGGCCACTCCCACTCCCCAGCACATGCCCTCACCCCACTATGGTCTGTGTCCTTTGGTTATGCTCATATGCATGCATATAAGTCCTTGGTTGATCTCTTACCCCATCACCCTCCACCCTCCCTCATAGGTTGGACAGTCTGTTCGATGCTTCTATGTTGCTGGTTCTGTTTTTTTTTTTTTTTTTTTCCTGCCACAGGTTTATTTGTACAAACAGCACAGGAGAACACCAGCACCACACAGACAACAGCCCAGGGGCCCCACCAGTCCTTCCGTCCTCACGTCGGCAGACAGAGGCCTCTACAGTGGAGCCTTTGTGGGGGCCTGGGCACCTTTGGGAGCAGGAGCCTGAGCCCCTTGGGGAGCCTGAGCTGCAGCTGCAGCTGCACCCGCAGCCTGGGGCTTGGTTTCTGTCTTGATTTCTCATTGGTAGTTAAGTATATAATTAAAAATAGGAAAATTATTCAATAAATGCAGTTGCAAAAGATTTCAAAATGAGGAACCTATGTGGGAAGCATTGCTTTAGAGGAGGGTGAAAAGTTGGGGCTGTTTACAACTTTTTAGGCAAAGTAGCAGGGAGCCATTCTCCCTTATTATTTCCATGATATAAGATGTCCCCAAAAATGTATATACACACTTTGAATAATTATGAAGGCAGTGTTTATTAAAATACATGTTTATTTTCAAAATTGAGCTATCAGCTGTTAAAGTGTGTATTCCGAATGGGAATAAATTCATGTTAAAATAAATAGCAGTTAATGGGAGTTTGCCAAGAATAGCTAACATCCAGCTCTAGAACTACAAGATGATACAGGATGAATGAAAAAACCAGTAGTGATTTTTTTTTTGTCTGTAGTTTAAATTTACTCTGTGTCCTAATAAGTAAATATTATATATCTGTGTAAGCCACATTGCCTGTAATAGTTATAAGGATACTTGAGAAATGAGTTCTCTATGTTTTACTTTGACTTCTAGGCAATTCCTTTCTCCAGAGTTCAGCAACAAATAGCCACTCACACCCTTTCTGGTGCTGGCATCTAAGATATAAATTATAAGTCAAAGTTTGTAAACCATTATTAGTATCACTTTGGCAATGCTTAATAGAACAGATAGGTAAGGAAATGGAAACTTCTGAAAGTTGTTTGTTGAAAAGATGGTAGAATGGCAGAAATATGCTAAAGAATTTTTACCTACTAAAAACTGTAAAGGACTAGACTTATATTTTCTTGTGGCCTCCTCCTGTCCTCCTTCCCTCCCAGCACTTAAGTTATGTATCATACTAGTGGTTCTCAAAGTATAGTCCCAAACTAGCAGCATCTGCATCACTTGGTAACTTGAGAAAAAGCAAATTATTGCGCCTCACTACAGACTTACTGAATCCAAAACTCAGGGTGAGAGATGCCCTAAAATTTGTGTGTCTTTTAAAAAAATGTATATTGTTAAAAGTATTACAGATGCCCCCCCTCCCTCCCTATTGACCCCTTCTAGCTACAATTTGTGTTTTAACAAGCCCTTCAAATGATTAAAAATATACATATTTTTATTGATTTCAGAGAGGAAGAGAGAGGGAGAGATAGAAACATCAATAATGAGAGAGAATCATTGCCTCCTGCACACCCCCTACTGGAGATAGAACCCACAACTCAGGCATGTTCTCTGACAGGGAGTAGAACCATGACCTCCTAG